GAAAGCGCTCGACGATCTCCCGGTCCCTTTCACGACAACCAGCTATCAGAGGAACTAAGGCTTGGTCTTTCTTCTGCTCAGCAGCCCAAGTCACTCGGAGGTCGACTCCCACTTTGAAGTCTGTCTGGTCCTGCAGTTCGCCCCGCGTCCTTTCTCGCGCTCGGGCCGCATCTTCCAGCCAACGCTCCGGCACCCTAACTGCCTTTTCTCCCGCGTCCGAGGACTCGGAGGGATACCCTCTCGAGTCCCTCGGAGCTGCTCCTTCTTTCTGGAAGCTATAAGGGATAGGCGGCGACCCGGGGACCAACAACAGTCGGTCTGGGTCGCGCGATTCCGCCCCCAGCACCAGATAAATTCTTCCTTCAACCCTCGGTTGATGTCCTGGCCCGACCTTCTCAAACGTCCAGGTCCAACCACCTTCTGGTCTTTCTTCAAACCACAGCACGTTGCTCTCGGGTCCTTTTCGGAAACGCTCGGGCAATTGCTCCCAAGTTACCACCAGCCCGCGGGCATAGTGGCCGGCGAACGCGAAGAAGCTTTCCAAGGCTTCCTTGCAGTCGCGGCCGGCTTCGTCTAAGCCTCCACGATCTCTCGCGTACTGGGCAATTTCGCGCAGGGTCCTTTCCACGACCGTCCAGTGCTGGACCCAGAACTGGTCTCCAGGTTTCCTTCGCCATCGCTGGGTGAGGTCCAACGGCCACTCCGGACTCACTACGTGACACAGCTCCAAGGGCAGTTTGCCGTCCAAGGTGTACACCGTCACGCCGCTCCGGTTCCTCCAGCCGTCGGGCCTCTCCACCAACAGCCTCTCTCCTCGCTTCCAGCGGACCTCAACCAGAACCATTCCTTTCAACAAGCTCTTTCGGTCACCGCTCGAAAGCCAAGTCCGAAGCTCTCCTCGGAAGAGCTCCGTCCGAGAGACATCTGTCGAAGCACCGGCCAACACCTCGATGCCAGGAACTGATCCCGCTTCGGGTGTTATTGAGGCACGGTCTTCACTCAGATCTTCAGCGATGCACTTCATACATTGGCCGAACAACGCGGTCCTTCGTCCGCACGCGCAGACTCCACTGTGCTCCCAGGCTTCCTTCGTTTCGCGTTCCAGCCACGGGCCCCAAGCTGTAGTTCCCATCGCTTCCGCAACGGAAATCTTCAAGTCTTCACACGCCGACTTAAGTTCCACTACGCTCGGAGTACCTTTAGGCAACACAGCTTCCACTGGCCATGGCTTGATAGGGGAGGAGAGCTTGAACTCAGGACAAGCCTCCCAAAGCACCGTCCAACCCGGCTTCGCCCTACTCAGCCTTGGGACTTCCGCGACCGCCAGTTTAACGGCTCCCCAGGCCGCTGCCACCGCTCGGCATTCGTCCCGTTGGAAAACCCTTGCCAGCAGCACGGCTTCAACGATCAAGGGCTTGGAGGCAGCCAAAACCACGACCGCCCCCTGGCCTCTTCCCACCACCACCGCAGGGCGGTGAGTCACCAGCTCGCGCAGCAACTTCGCCACTGATGTAAACAAGTCAACCCTGACCGCATTGGCTAGCTTCCGACCAGTAAGTCGAGCCTTGCCTTGCCGCTCAAAATGCAGGCCTGTCCCGTCGATATCCTCAAACGGGGGTTCTTCCAACGAGATTCTCGGCTGAAAACCCGGCAAACTTCGCGCTAAAAACTTGCTCAGCTCCGCGGTTTTACTCAGGCGTTCCCCTTCTG